GGCCCCGGGCACGGGCACGGGCCGCTCCCGCCGCTGCCCGAGGGCTCCTCGTGTCCCGGGAGAAGGTCCGAGGGCCGCAGCCCGTCCCGCAGCCCTGGGCACGGTGCGCCGAGCTGTAGCGCACGCGTCTCGCCCGAAGAGCCTCCGCTGATTCGGCTTCTCCATCACTTTTCTCTCGGAGAAGGAATGTATGCGTGTGCCTCTCCGAATTGAAAGATATTTATGGATTTAAATCAATGAGATTATTTGTAAAATTACCCGTAAAATCGGGTCTGACATCTCCGGCTGAGTTGCACGACGCTGAAGTCGAGTCTAATTTTTTTTTTTATTTTTTTTTTTTTTTAATTTTTTTAGAGCGACGCTTCATTTCACCTTTTCTGGAATGGAGATTTCTTCTCACCAGTTTCACCTCTTGCAGCAACTAAATGAGCAGCGCAGACAGGACTTGTTCTGTGACTGCAACATCCTGGTCGAGGGAAAGGTCTTTAAAGCACATCGCAATGTGCTGTTTGCCAGCAGCGGCTACTTCAAAATGCTCCTTTCGCAGAGCTCGAAGGAGACGAGCCAGCCGACGACAGCCACTTTCCAGGCATTTTCTCCTGACACATTTACAGTTATTCTCGATTTTGTGTATTCAGGGAAACTGTCTCTCACTGGTCAGAATGTGATCGAAGTCATGTCGGCTGCGAGCTACCTGCAGATGACCGACGTTATTAGCGTGTGTAAAACGTTCATCAAGTCCTCGCTGGACATCAGCGAGAAGGAGAAGGATCGGTACTTCAGTCTGTCAGACAAAGACGTAAATTCCAACGGCGTGGACCGATCCTGCTTGTACGGTGCTGGCTGGCGGGCAGAAAGCAGCCCCCCGCATTCACACCTAAGTCCAGACCAAGGGACATGTATGATGGGTGGAAACGCTTGGAGCAATTTCAGCTACTATCCGACTTCGCAAAGAAATGCCCAGCAGCAGCTGTCCAAACACGAGCAAAGGCAGGATTCCGTAAAGAAATCCCGGCACCTGGGACTGCAGCAACCTTCTGACATTCCTCACTATAAATCAAGCAAACTGGAGGACAGGGCGGCCGAGCCCGCTGGCCACATTGCTCAGTCTGAGGAGCAAGTTCCGATTGAAACAGAAGTTGAATCTCCTCACGTGGGATACCAGTACGGCCAAGGGTCTGACGTGATACCGAGGAGCTTGGCTGTGTCACAGCAGGAGCATGAATCACCCCGTTCTTCTAGTAAATCCAAGTCTTCAAAAGCAGATGAGCAGTACGCCAGCATGCCCTCGATTCTGGGCGTCATGGGAAGCTGGACTGAAGGTAAGAGTTAATTTTAACGCTGTAGGTGCACAGTTGTCTCTGAATCACCTGTTCTGTCCCTGAGAAAACTCCAGACGGGTGTACAGTTGCCAATAAGACATCTGTATTGTCCAGGAACGTAAGTTTGGAAAGTTTAACTATTTTTTTAGTAATTTTGAGTTACGGAAGTACGTGGTTTATTAAAACTAGCCCATCAAAATACACATTCTTCAGTGTCTCTACAGCTTCATCTTGCAAATTTAAGTTGTGATCTTTCGGGATATATTGAAGCTGATCTTAATATAGTTAACAGTCTGCTCCTTTTCCTTTGTTGCACTCCTGTGTAATTTACAGGAAAACACAAGATCTTTGTGCTTGAAAAGACCTCTGATGATAATTTTTTCTTTTTTTTTTTAATAAAATCAATTTGCCGTTCCACTCACAGAATGCCTTTTCCTAGAGCATTACACGACTAGACATGTTACGACTTAATTTTGTAAATCGTATTATTTTCTAACAGATGATCTGCCCAGGATGAGGTTCAAGTGCCCGTTCTGCACTCACGTGGTGAAAAGAAAAGCAGACCTAAAGCGTCACCTTCGCTGTCATACAGGAGAGCGCCCTTACCCTTGCGAGGCGTGTGGGAAAAGATTTAGCAGGCTAGATCACCTAAGTAGCCATTTTCGAACAGTATGTATTTTTAGTAACTGCATGATTTTGTTTAATTTGTAAACCTGCCTCAGTGCAATTAAACACAGTACAAGTGTATCTGGTTGATATATTGACTCCCGTAAAGAAGAGGTAATAGAAAATTAATTTGGTCTTGTTGAAGTCAATTTGAAGCATAATTTGCATGAAAGGAGATGGATTTCTGTGTTAATTGATGGCTTGCAAAGGTACTGCTCTATGCAGGTCCTGTAACAGAGCTGAAGTGGGCGATTACAGCGCCTGTGGTGGTTTCATTTGTAATGTTTGATGACTGTCTCAAAATGAGTTAATGCTGCCATCTGACGCTACTCCAACTCTACTTTTTGTCATCTTAAAGCACGCTTCTTTGCGGATACATTAAAAATTTTATTCATTCCGATTTCCCCAGATCCATCAGGCTTGTAAGCCTATCTGCAGAAAGTGTAAACGCCACGTGACTGAGCTAACGGGACAAGTGGTCCAAGAGGGGACGCGACGTTACAGACTCTGTAATGAGTGTTTGGCTGAAGCGGGCATAGACAGTATTCACATTGACTTGGAGGCTGAAGCACCCCTTGAATTTCCACAGGATGGGGATAAGGATTCCCGGTGGCACTATGGGGAAGACAACAGATCTGATGTGGAGATTGTGGAGGATGGGTCAACCGACTTGGTTATTCAGCAAGTTGATGACAGTGAGGATGAAGCAGATGAGAAGGAAGTAAAACCAAATATTAGGTAGTTGCAAGACAAGAATTGGGAATTCCGTGTCAGAGGGAGAATGTACTGTCTTGACCATAAGCCCTCCACCAGCCTGTTGTTAATTGTACAGAGACACACTGGTTGCTCTTGAACGGGTCCAGGCTTGCATGTATTTATGGACATGCTGTTGAGTCCATTCTGAGTTTTGTTATCAGAATACCCATACTTTGCTTCACTAGAAAGGATCCATCCTTAAATGAAATAATGGACGAACAAGGAAACCGGAGTTCTACGTGTTTAACTTTTCATAGTAGACAATGGGTCACTTCTCAAAACCTCTTTCAAGGGAGTGAGATCTTAATACGTTATTAAAAAAAAAAACAAAACTCACACAGCACTGTAAATTGCCCATTTTTTAAACTTGTAGAGATGTGGGGTTTATATGTAATATCATCTGATGATCACCCCACACATCAGAATATAAAGAAAACCTCTCTTCAGTATTCAGAAACGAAGATAATCTTTCACGAAATGTCGTGAAGTCTTCATATTATGATAAGGAAAAAAGGCAGCTAATTAAGAAAAAAAAATACCAAGAATGTTTTAGCACATTCGTCTGGAAAAGCACTTTCTTGTAAAATTTATTAGAATAAGGAGAATCTTTAGCAGATCTTTCATTCTAGACCTATTTCTTTACAAGAAAGTAAACACATGAATGCTAGTCCTAGTCAACACACCCGAGAGAAAATGATTACAAATACGGATCACTAATTGATGCCAGTAGATGTTTTTATTCATTCTGATAATTGGGAACTCAGACTGGGCTATGTGTTTTTAGTAAAATACTCTCTGTTTGTTTTTTTGTTGTTTGTTTTTTGTTTTGTTTTTTTTTTTAAACCTCTCAAAAGTGCCAGACCAACAGGACTGGTAGCCCTGCATCCAACAGGGCTGTGGCAGTTCTCCATGCCAACGTGAAGGAAACAATCCTTACGAGGTTACTTTAGCTGTTGTTTTCTCTCGTTGTTCCCCGTTTTATTTGCCGCTAACAGTGGCAGAACAATTTGTACAGTATACATACTATATCATTAGAAATGGAACTGATGAGATCTTCCATCTGAAACCATTGACTACTCTCGTTCGTATTGACCTGTACTCGATTTAAACCGATGGGTTTGAAGATGGACTCATTATCAATTTATATATTCCCAAAGTCATTTGCTCACCAAGTGAACATCCTTTCACCTTGTCCAGTCTGTACTATATGCCAGTGAGAACAAGATGTACGGGAAGTTCTAGACATTTTATTTGTGTAATTTTACCTACAATTAGAGTACAAGAGATGACTAATGGTGAAGAAAATTTACTTCTTTAACAAAATAAGCCACTTTGTTTTGTTACTTAGTGAGTTTATCTTGGCCAGCACTGTAAGCAGGAGAGAAGTATGCTCCGGAGGGGCATTCACCCTGCATTTTCTTAGTCAGACCTGAGTATTACTACAGTATTCATCCTGTGATCATTGAACTCAATGGCTATAGGCTTAGAAAACTTTTTTTTTTTTTCTTTTTTTACAACTTTGTAAGCATGTTTGGCTGAAACCCGGGATTAATTACAAAACAATCCCATATATATATACTATATAACCTATTTCCCAGGGACAGCTAAAAAGACATTATTTTATTTTTATTTGTGTAAAAACTGTATAGCCTTATTAGTATCATCATTACCAGAGAGTGCAGCATTTTCATTCCAGACTGCAGATGGCCAGCCTACAGTTCTCTTAAATGACAGCTCAAGTGCTTCCTACTGAGTTCACAGTGTAAGCATTAAGGGCCCTGCCCCTCCGACCTGCCAGGCTGTCAAGAAGCAGCCTGCTGGTATGTTCTAAAGAGGCAAGAAGGGGTATTTTATCATTCCTGCAAAAATTATTGTCCATTGGCTTAGACTTGGGGAGGGGGGTGGAAGGGGGGAACTTAAAAAACTTTCTGATGACCCATATGAAACCATCCAGGCAAGACTTACCCTTGCCTAGGTTTGATGTTACACTTTGGTCAGGAGTCCGCAAAAATGGATTTGATGTGAAAGTTTGCTGGTTGATTTCTCGGAGCTTGTTACTCCTAAAATGCATATTATTAAATGGCTGAGAAATATTCCTGAGCAACCTGAACTAAATCAAATGCAGAACAAAGAAATACCTAAAAGAATATGGAATGACTTTGATCAAATTTCAAGAGGAAAATGCTTGCTGAAATCAGTTTTAATAGATTTTTCCGTTTTTCCTTTACATTAAAAAATATGCACAATAAATTCTAGGTATCAGTGCCTGCTGTCCCAGAATACAAAGTGGCTGGGATTAGTCTCTGTGTGTGTGTGGGGATGGATTAAGGGGAGGGGAAAAATGAAAGTGTCACTCTAGGCCATGAAATCTTGAAGTGCCAACTGTAAAGGTGAGACTGTTAAGTGTTTCTGTATACTTGGGGCTGTTTTTAGAAGCAAAGGGATTTTTGGATCAATACCTAATCTAACTAGACACCATAAATTAAGAATACTGAGGACCAGATGCTTCAGAAAAAAGATGTGAAATGGTTATAAATAGGCAAATGGAACAATCTATCCATATGAAGACATTTACTTTTTAAATATAGGCAGATTAGTTGTTGATTTGCCTGGCAAATAAGGGGGTTTTACTGGTTTTATATGATATTGTTATTCTCAGTAGCGTAACTAGATACCTGTAGTGATTTTTGAAGAATCTTATTAAGCTTGGAGTCTTAGCTCAAGACTGCGATTCCCACAGGTCAATTATGTTTTGTATTTTTTAAAAGGTTAACCATTTTTTTTTTACATTTGTTACCTTAATTTCCGTTGCTGTTCCCTTATTTTTGTACTGGAAGACAAGATAAACGTTAAGTGCCTTCTATTTTCTACGTCCCTCATTTTGCATAGCCAGTCATATATTTTGCTTGGTTTTGTCTGAATGAAAGTAATCCTGTTTGTTTTGTTTTCATCTCCTTGCATCGCCTCTGATGCCTGTCGTCTTCATATTTCTGTTAGGTCACCTCCCACTCAGTAGCAGAAGTAACATTTTCTCTCTTTTCAAGGAGAAAAGACCACATAGGGTTGTTCCCACAGAATTTAATTTACCTGGCAGTAACTGTGTTGCTTTTAGATGTCAGGTCACAGGTAGGACACTTGATTTTTTTTTAAATCTTTGAATTCTAGAGAAGGCTGTATAGAACTGTAATGGCTTCTGCTAATACCGATCCGTTCAGATTCTGTTTCTCCCCTGCCTCTGTACACCAAATCAGAGTTTGAGAGGTTTAAATTGTAGTGCAGCATTGAACAGGCTGTTCAGAGAGCAGCCTCGGAGATGGTTGTCCTCGAAGTTGTTCAAGACTTGGCTCAACAAAGCCAATGGCCGATCTGATCACGCTGGTGGTGCTGGCCGCCTTCCCGTGGGAGGTGGGACTAGAAACATTCCCAGCTTCCCTACGACCAACACTCCTATGATTCCTCTCAAGTGGGTTTTGCCTCTTTTTTTCATTGCACTTCCTTAAATCTTCTTCGCGTTGCTTTGACTGCTCTTAAATACGGCTACTTAATGCACGTTTTGATTATTCACTGGTTTTATATACCTCCTTCTGTCATTTCCTTTTCCATTCCCTGTTTCATCTGACTAACATTGGAGGGTTGTCCACATCAAGAGACATTCCTTTTGTGTAGCACGACTTCCCGTGTGGTCCCAGTGTCTTTGTCCTTCTTTCTCCTTCGTCACTGACTCTTTTTGCTTGGCTTGTGTTTATCATTGTATTCACAAAACCACAGTCAAGAGGGAAGAGAGATTCATCATCCTCTGTTTAGTGTCTCACCTGTAACTATCCTTATTTTCTGACAGCTATCTCGCCATCCTTTCAAAGGTTGAAACACTGAATTAAAAAACGTTTCTCTTTCCCCCTTTTCAGGTATTGCAGAACTTTACCTGTCACATAAACCTATGACTTGTGTGATATATGATTAGTCTTTCTCCTTCACATCATATCCCATTTTTTTGTTTTCCATTAAATTATCTAAACTTCTGTATTTACTATCTCAAACAATGACACTTGTCCTTATCTTAAAGGTTCAACTGTTGGGTTTGGTTTTGTTTTTTTTTTTTTCTTTCCCAAATTAATAAAATTAAAAAAGCAGACCCCCAAAACCAACCTCAGAATGAATCTCCCTTTCCAACCTTTTTCAAAAAAAAAAAAAAAAGGCAAAAGTAACTGATTTACTGATTTAGTGTGAGTTTTGTAAACATCTCTAAGCCCACAGATCTCCAGCGGAGGACTGACACTGCCTGCTACGTTTATCATCCTTCCTTTACTCCTGGCTCTTCAGAAGAAATGCTCCATCCTCCAGGATTTTGGGATCCCCCTCAATTTTTCAGTGATAACTTAGGAGAAAAAAAAAAATCTCTGTTGGATATAAAATTATGGAGTATACTACATTTCTTCCCTGAAGCATCTGGTCACTGTCAGAGGTTATCCCATTACCCAGCCCTGCCAGTGTCTACTTTTCTTGTATTTTGGTCTCTTAGTCTGCAGAAATACTTGGCTCTGAACTTCAGAGAGCCTACACGCACTAACAGCACAATCTCCAACCACATCCATTATTTAATATGGACCTTGATTTAGCTGAAAAATGCCTGACCCACCATCTGGCTACAGCTGAGGCAATGACTGTGCCCAGATCCCAGGACTGACAATCATCAGCATCTGTCAGCGTAACAACAATGCTGTAGGGTTCGACGTCTTATCGCAAACCTTAACGGTGGAGGGCAAGCACAGCCGAGATTTGCGTTGAGGACTGCAGCTAAACTAAACTTGTTTAGTTGAATTTATCCTAAAAAAGGCTTTTAAAAAGTGTGTTTTAATCGAAGCCTCGAGGCTAAAGATAGCAGTCAGACTGGAATAAGCACATGCGTTGAGGATGAATTTAATGAATATACAAATTCATGAGGAAGTGCTTCAGTGGAGTGCTAAGGCCAGTATCGGTGTGATCTGGTCAAGCTGGCACTGGGGACTTACAGCCGTTTGCAAGGTAGAGAAATGTAACTTATAGTCTAAAAAGAGTTCAGATAGTTAATTCTGTGTTCCTTTTATTGTTTCTCCATGAATAAGTACAGCAGAATTGTAAGAGTAGTTCAATATTCTAGTCCAGGCATTCCAACACTTGCTGCTTGATTTTTCTGGAACATCTCAGGGAAGTCAGAAGTCAATTTGAAGGTTACTATGAGTTGGAAGGCAGCGTGTACGAGAAAGAAACAGAAGATGTCCCTAATTCTGGCCGAAAGGTTGAGTTTTGAAGAAAAGGATCATCCAGAATTTCAGCGTTTCCTGTTAGGTATAAATCTGTACCAACAGCCTGTATGTCTGTTCAGTGATGGGTGTGATTTGATAAGCTACTAAGAAAAGCTTGTAATACCATTTAGTTAAATATTTTCTATACTGTTTAACTTAAAAAAACCTCCCACACTAGAGTTAGCACAACCTTTCATCGTATTTAACTCTTGAAATGCAGAGAAGCGTCTTAGTGCATCATGAATTTTAAACGTAGCAACACAGAACATTTTCTAAGGGAAAACTGGGAGGAACGGCAGGAAAAAAAAAAAAAATTTCCGTGTCTTGGTTTAGCCGTTGTAGTAAACGAAATACTAATGATGTTCTCTGCCACGCTCTGAGCTGACGCTTTTTACTGTGCAAACGGGAAGGGTTTCACCATGTTCTACATGCGCCTGCTTTGAGGAGGGGACTGTGCCAGATGACCTGCAGAGGTTCCTTCTCAAAATTATTCAAGTGTTCTCGAGGAACAAGACTGAAAGTGTCTCGTCTTCTGACAGGCACAAGATTGGAAGCGTCTTCTCATCTAACGTGCATCCCGATTTGATTTTCTTTTTTCCACGCAGAAGGAGAAAAAAAAAAAAAAAAAAAAAAAAAAAAAAAAAA